ATCCTGTTCAATATCCATTGATCTATCCTTTTGGCAAGCCAGGTTGGTATCCGGGTATTGTGAAAAATTCTGCTACATCTTCGTCTTCCTCTACACAGTCAACACCTAATTTATCAGCAGAGTCGTTTTATATTGAACAAGTTGACCTATCAATAAATGGCTGCTCACATTACAGTATGCAATTAGGACTTAATAAACGCCGGATGGACAAGAGTCATGTCTCTATTAGAGAGTACTATGCATATCGCCTCCAAATACGCCCTGCAACTCCTACTTTACTATTACATACTGGCCGTTTGTTACAACAATATATAACCGACCAGTACATAAAAATAGAAACTCAAAGGCTAGATTTTTTTCGATCTGAACAAGTGCAAAAACAACATCGTCATGACACCATGCAAGGTATTCTAGACGTTTTTAACCAATCCCAACATGAACCGTTATCTATGATTGGACAACCAGTTGTCCTTCCATCTTCTTTCATTGGTGGTCCCCGTGATATGCAACAAAGATTTATGAATGCTATGGCTCTTGTACAAGAATTTGGTAAGCCTGATTTTTTCCTTACAATCACTTGTAATCCAAAATGGCCTGAGATTCAAGAAGTCTTAAAACCATTTGAATTATCAACTGATAGAACTGACATTGTTGCTCGTGTGTTTAGAATGAAACTTGAAGAACTGAAAAACGAACTCTTCAAACAAGACTTGCTAGGTAAAGTGCAGGCGTATTCATACGTCATTGAGTTTAAAAAAAGAGGATTGCCACATGCCCATATGCTACTTATCATGTTTCCACAATTTAAATTACACAACCCGACAACTTACGACAAATTTATATCTGCAGAACTTCCTGATAGTAACTTAAACCCCTACTTATTTCAATTGGTCTTGAAACATATGATGCATGGTCCTTGTGGCTCTCTAAACATTGTAAGGTACATAAGTGTTGATGTATTTTTTCAACAAAGAAAAGGTAAAATCCAAAAATAGGACCAAAAGACAAAAAAACACTCCTTCGCCGCCCCCACCGACTGACCAAACTACTGTTCACTTAGTAGGCACCCGACTTTTCTTCGTCCGACTACGTACCAACCGACTTGCTTATCCGATCGCATCCCATCCGACACGCTTACCCGATTGCTGAATAACCGACCTGTCCATCCGACCTGCTCACCAACCGACCTGCAGACTTTCTTACATATAGACCATCCGACCCGCCAACCAACTGACCTGACTATACAACCACCGACTGTCCGACCTACAAACTTTCCGACCTATGGAGCATCCGACCCACTAACTAACCAACATGACTATCCGACCGTAGACCTTCCCACCTGCCGAACCGACCGAGGACCAACCAACTTGACTATCCCACAGCAGACCAACCGACCTGACCTACCGAAAGAGGAGCAACCGACCTGCCTATCTGACCGCAGATCTTCCGACGTGCCGATCCGATTGACGGCCAACCGACCCAGGAACAACCGAACGGACCAACAGACCTGAACGCAAATTTTTCTTCTTTTCCACCTAACTTCGTGCATAACTTCCTTTAAGATACTGCTACCCTTACTTTTATTATTATTTTTTGTGCGTAACAGATTGCATTATAGAATAGTCGTGCGGTATACCGCGCAAAAGCGGATTCTAGTGTATATATATATATATATATGAACCCACCCATAATTTTGAAGTGAAATAAAAACAAAAGTCTATAGCAGGAATTGTTGACACAGAGAATAATTAATGTCTGTTTCTTCAGTCAAAACTTCAGCTGTTTTGGGCAGACATAGTCTGAAAAGGGTTTGTTCTTTTTTCTTTTCTTTTTTTTTTATATAATTTTTTTTTATAGTTTTTTAAATTATAAATATAATATAATAATTATAATTGAATAAAATATATACAATATGTATATCATTTTCTAGAGAATAATTTTTTTTATAATTTAAATAAATAAAAATTTATAAACATATATGTAGATATAAAATAAATTTATATTAAATTATACAAATTAATACACATTTATATTATTATATTCATTTCCATCAAATTAATACACATCAAAATTCTCCAAAACCAACCCAAACTAAAAAAAAAAAACACACTTCAAAATTCAAATAAAAACCATTCTCAAACCGAAATTTCCCAAAAACCTCCGAAAAAACTTATTTTGTCGAGTCTAGCACACACTTACACCCCCGACGGGAATTTCACCCAACACATGCACACACACCCATCCAGGATCGAACTGAAACCCAACCCTCAATCGAGAGATTTCTCACCGCTTGATCTATAAGGATTTGACTTGTCAAGTCTAGTTTGCAGGTATTAGTTTTGACTGAAAATTTATCCAGGACACGTTCGATAAATATCGACTGCGAATTCCCATATCATAAAAAAGAAAAAAATAATAATCCAACAACATCTTCCATCAAAATTTTATTCTTACCACAATCATTTTCTGCTAAATTTTTTCTTATTTCCCCTTTTATTATTATTTTTTTTCTATTTTCTTACATTATCACAAAAAAAAAAAAAAAAAAAAACCACCCCTACACACATGCCTGTATTGATTTCCTCTCAAGATTACATCAAGAAAAAAATGAACACAGTTCAAAAATGTTATTTGGTGTGCGCACACACCACAAAAAAAAAAAAAAAAAAAAAAAAAAAACGACAACTTGAGCCTTAAAAATAGCCTCGAAAATATTTTTAATCGAATAAAAATCTTGTCGAATCGAGCTTGTAAAAATTGGATGGTGCCATATCCGATTTGAATTTTTTTTTTAAAAGTAAAAATATAAAAAAATAAAAAATTAAACAATATAAAAATGTATTAATTAATATATAACACAATTAATAAACTCAATCTCTAATTTCAAAATTTAAGTATCTAATTCAGTGACATATCATCTTTGTTCGACACTCACTAATTTCATCATCCTCGATCTCTTCCATAAATTTAAATTTGTTTTAATTTTTATTAGATTAAAAAAGTAACATATGAAAAAAAAAAATTAAAATAAAAAATAAATAAAAATTACCCAAGTGGGCCAGTTCAATATGATTTCAAACTAAAATATGTTGTGATATTATACATTTTACTCCTTTCGTTCCATTATAAAAGAGTCTTTTGGAGTTTCTTAATAAATGAAGAAATATTATTTCCATATCTATATATATTCATTTGTTTTTATACGAAATTTTAAAAATATTAGTATTATATTGGGATAAAGTAGAAATAAAGATAATAAAACTAAATTAACCATGTTAGTATTGTATGATATAAAAGTAATGACATTTGTGTAATATATTGTAAATTTGAAGGGTATTTGTAATGTTAGGTAGATAGTACAATTACTAAAAAAAAATAAAATTGATACTTTGTCATGGGACGGACCAAATGAAAAAATAGATAGATTGTTAAGGGACAGAGGAAGTATACTTTTTTTCATTTGATTTTTGCATGAAGATTAAGGTAAAATAGTATTTTATAGATACGTAGTGTAATAAAATAATTTAATATCTATTTTACCATTGAAAGATAATGTGAAAAAGTAGAGAATATGAGTATTTTAGTATTTAGTTAAAAATTATTTTTCTAAAATAGATGGAAATAGTAATATTTTATTGGTTAGTAGAAGTATGGAAGAAGTTTTGACATTTTTAGTTTTTATTTTTATTTTTGTGTAAAAAATAATAGATTTTATATAATTTTATTGTTTTAATTTGTTCTTCAATATTTATTATTTTTAATAAAAAATATATTTTTTTATATAGCTATGTTAAACTTTTTAGTTTCAAACATATTCTCTCTGTCCCAATACAATAGTCTTGTTAACTATTTTTATTCGTTCCAAAACAATAGTCTTATTTCCATAAATAACCACATCACTATAAAATTACCCTTACTCTTTCATTATTATTACACAATTGCCACTACTTTTTACACTAATACACTCACAAGGGCAAAAATGTCTTTTATCTATATTTTTTACCTACTATTAATATAATATCAATATTTCTTAAATCTCGTGCTCAACACAACCAAGACTATAGTTCCGGGACGAAGAGAGTATTATTTTCGTTCAATCTTTTTTCTTCTTCTTTGTTACTCCTTCGGTGTACCAAAGAGAATTTAAATATATATATATATATACCGAATTGATTAAAATGAATTCATATTTTGCAAATTTAGAGGCTAATTCCATTGCTGCTAGTATACATAATTAAATCTTTTTTTTTTTTTTTTTGCTCAAAACCTAATTATCTTATGCCAAATTCATCGAATTATCGTATCGACTTAGTTTTTGTCTTTTCTAATAACGTCAACCGACACCAAAAAAATCAGCCTAAAGACCACGTTTTTACTCTTGTAATTGGAATGTCCATATATATATATATATACTCATGATTGTCGTATTCTATGTAATATTTTTAACTTTCATACTTCTCCTCGAACTCTAATTTGTCGTTTTCCTAGTTTTATTTATTTATTATTTTTGCATGGTTAAGACGAGTTTGGAATTCCCAAATTACAATGAAATATGCTGTTTGGGTGTGCCCTTCGAGGCATCACAAGAGGTCATAATTTGATTAATTAAATTATTTAATTAATAGAATAATATTAATACCCTACGATGTAATAAAGCATATGCTCATTAATTATTCCCATACATCAATCTACACAAAAGAAAAAAAAAAAACACACAACCCTGATTATACCAAAAACGACGCCGTCGAGGGACGCGCCAAAAACCAAAATTGTGGTCCACACGTGTCGCAATTTTAGCGAGCATAAAAGCATACTTCCACGTTCCCGCCTCGGTCACGCCGCGCGTGGTCTCCACGCGTTTGTCCCCGAAGGGGCCCTCTCTATTATGCGCCGGCGGTGCGTATTTTAACTTGCGTGCGCCTCCGGTTTCTTGAAATACGCACGTTCGCTGCATCAGTCTTTCTTCCTGCTCCTTTTATCCTCCTCGGCTTGGGGTGAATTTATGGAGATGATCTTTTGATTCTTCCTTCTTTTTTTTTTTTTTTTTTTACTGATACAAATATGCGGATGTATGTAGATCTTATGTGGCGGAATGCGGCTTCCGATGGTGAGCCTGACGCGTCTCGGTTGCTACGTGTTTATGGAATTTTTATTTGCTTGCATTGATGTTGCTCGGTTGTGATTCAGGAAGTTCGGCGATAATTGTTGGTCTCAACGGTGGCTGATACTGGTTTGTGGTAGCAGGGTTGAATCCGAAGCCCTAAATGATGATTCGGTTAGATTCTCCTTCGATTTTTATTGAAATATCGTGCTGTCATGCATAAGATTGGATTTATAGTTAATATTTTGGGAATTGCTTGATGCATTTTAACTACTTCTGCAATTCTAGGTTTGGAATTTGGATCCAAACATCGGGAAACGTATTACGATTTTCGTTTTTGTTTCTCTGTTTTTGGATCCTTTGCATTTCTTAGTTGATTTTCACTAAAATTTGAAGCGGATGATCACTCTGCTAACCTAAATGTAGCAGTTTCGATTCATTAGCAATTCATGTGGCTTTGAAAAGAAATGCTGAATGAAGAACATCTATACATTGAGTTTTTGCCTGTGATAATGCTGTTAGGTTATGTGATGAATATCTTTCGTTTGTTTGATTTTTAGAAGGTCTGGAGGTTGAGGAATTGAGGTTATTGCTTGAGTAGATAAGTTTTTGTTGTTCATTTGGAGGATGTTGGGGGAGACTCTAACCGAGACGTGGTTCGGTAATATATGGAAGAATTCGCGCAAGAGTATATCGTGGGAACCCGAGAGACCTGTGGTCGGGATCGTGGCGTTTGAGATCTCAAGATTGATGTCGAAGGTTGTTAACATATGGCATTGTCTCACTGATAGACAGATTGTTAGATTAAGACAAGAGATTGCAAGTTCAGTGGGGATTCGGAGACTAGTTTCAGAAGATGAAGACTATCTCATGGATCTTGCACTCGCTGAAATCATTGACAATTTGGGATCTGCCGCGAAATTAGTAGCCGTGCTAGGGAAGAAATGCGCGGATCCAATGTACCATAATCTCCGGGGCATGTTTGATGATCCGGGCTTGATCGATCCCAAATGGTATGGCTGGCAATACCGGCTGAAGAAGATGGATCGAAAAGTGAAGAAAATGGAGAAGTTTGTGGCTGCGACTGAGCAGCTCTTTTCCGAGATCGAAATTTTGGCTGACCACGAACAGACTCTAAGGCGAATGCGAGCTGGATCGAACTTAGGGAAGGTGAGATTGCTTGAGTTTCAAGAGAAGGTTGTATGGCAGCGGCAACAAGTCAAAAATCTTCAAGAACTGTCTCCGTGGGCGAGAAGTTACGATTACATCGTTCGTCTTCTTCTCCGGTCTCTGTTCACGATTGTCGAAAGGATAAAGTATGTTCATGGGGTTAACCAGATGGATCCAGTCGAAGGTCATAATCGATCGACGAGTATCGATTGCAGTCATTTACTAAGCGATACCTTCGATCGCTTGGAAACGGAGAGAGCCCCTGTTCGGAGGTCGTTTTCGAATTTGGGCTTGATGGATAGAAGTAAATCGAAGAACCGGACGTCTCTCGATCGATCGCCGTCATCGATCCTTTCCCGGAAGCCTCATACGAAAGCGAGACGATTCGCCGCTATTGGGATGACGGGATGTGTGACGGGTGGAATCGATATCGAATCCCCGTTCGTTGGCAGCTCGTTCCGATCGAACGGTATTTCTCCGAAAAACGACGTATCCGTATCCTTCTTTACTTCGAAACGATGTCTGCTGGACGCCAACGAGTCGACGCTCGGGCACGCGGCGTTGGCTCTTCACTATGCGAACGTGATCATATTGGTCGAGAAGTTTGCATCGGCGCCTCACCTAATCAGCCTCGACGCGAGGGACGACCTCTACAGCATGCTGCCTTCGTCTATCCGAAGCTGCCTGAGGTCGAAACTGAAGACGTTCTCGAAAACGACCGACTACGATGCGGCGTTTGCCGCCGAGTGGGGGACGGCGATCGGGAGGATACTCGAATGGCTGTCGCCGCTCGCACACAACATGGCGAGGTGGCAATCGGACCGGAATTTCGAGAGGCGGAGGCTGGGTTTCGGGTCGAATGTGCTGTTGGTTCATACGCTGTATTTCGCCGATCGAGCGACGACGGAGGCGGCCATCGTCGAACTCCTCATGGGGCTGAATTACCTCGCCCGATTCGGAATCGGGCCGGAGATCGGCGAGAGGCGGCTCCGGCAGCCGTGGTGCGGCGGCGGTTTCTTTCCCAGGTATAGTAACATGTTGTGCGATGTCATCGATTGAAAAAAAGAAGTGTTGTATTTGTACACGATGGATTGGATTGGTTGTCTTAATTTGTTGGGATTCAATCGAGGATGCTTTCGAAATACAATTAAGAAAATAATTCAACAATGATGTGCCAAAATATGTTACTCCGTCGCTTAAAATGACGGTAATATTTATTTTTACTGTCCACTCAATTTATAAATAATTTTTTTTAATTTTTTTTAAAATTTTATTATTTGTAAATATATATTACTCCTTTATGTTAAAACGAACAAAAGACATAGTACTTTCATTCACCAACTAATGTTCAACTTTACTAATATCCAATTTTTCTATTTGGGACGTCCAATAACTATTGTATTATTTTATTTTTTAAACACAAATTTTACATTTTTATCTTTTATTTATTTATTACTTTTAATTTCTACCATACAGGACAAATTTATCAATTTATAACAAAAATAAAAAATAAAAATAATCAAATAACATAGACTTCAAATAATAAAATTTGAAAATACTAAAAAAAAAATAATAATAAAAAAAATCTATAACCCACCCAAATGCCATCCATATCTATTTTATTTCTAATTTAACGGTCGAATCTCTTGTCGTAAATGGGCCGGGCTTAATTAATTATGGCTTAAATTGAAATCCGGGCTACGTTCTTCGTTATTAATTTTTTAAAATCTTTTCTTGGTTACTAATTTGAGGAGGGAGAAGTGTGGCGTTAATGGCAAGTCTAAGCGGCGAAGCTCTCTACTTAATTTACAGAGCTCTGACTTATGGCGTATCGCCGTTGCTTCGCATTCATCTCCGGTGGCGCAAATTGCGAGGTCGTGAGCACCAAACCCGGTGGCGCGAACGCCTCGGATGCCCCTCGGCAGCGCGCCCCGCCGGTCGCCTTATTTGGTTCCACGCCGTCTCATTAGGTAACTGCGATTTTTTTCCTCTCCCTTTTTTAGTTTTTAGTTGAAGATTAATGGCAAAAATTTCAATTGAACATTCCTGAATAGTGTTTCTATTATGATTTTATTGTTGTTTTTCTGTTTGCACGACTGCTCTGGTTGCGTCGATAGGGGAGGGACTGGCGGTGATTCCTGTGATAAAGTGTTGCTTGGAGAGGAGCCCGGATTTGACAGTCTTGATGACTACTACAACAAGTTCGGCATTGTAAGAACTTTTAGTAGGACAATTTACTTAGTTTCAAGTCTAATTACTAGACTGGTAAATATTAATCCCAAATATTTCAAATTAGAATGAGGATGTTAGGAAAATTGGATAAAAAGGGATACTGAATTTGTTGTAAATACAATGGGAATCTGCATATTGCACTGAATGCTATGTAGAACTTGATACAAAAGTATGATTATGTTTGGGCAAGAAAGTATGGTTATATTTGGACAGTTGTAACTAGTAACACAAGTCCTAAGAAACTGTCCCTACATCGGCAGCTTCATTCTTTTTACTCTTTTCATTGGCTACCCTTAATCGGCATTGTTATTACTTGTGGAATCTGACTGCTGCAGCAAATTTGTTAAGTCAACCATTTTGGGGCTATGTAATAGCACTCTGTTAGCTTTTTAGTGGTTAAAACTAGTTATCTTATTTTCTGTTCCTCATTTATATCCTGAAAGTTACCTATGTGAAGCATGATTTCCATTTCGGTTTCTTCTGTATGCTTGTTATGCAGTGAAGTGATAAAGAACAGACTTCCAAGCAATGTAATATATCAGGTGCTCAATTTTGTTATTGTTATTAGTTACTTATGGTTATCCGTGATTAATGTAAATAGGTATAAAGATTTGTTGATTATTGAATAAGTAGAACTCTAGATTTATAGTTTTCCCATAAGTTCCCGTGGATGTGTGTTTCCCCCCTATATTCAATGCATTACCACTTTACTGAACACTCCTAAATTTCACTTTCCATCTTCGTAGTTTCCTTACTCAAGGAAAGAGATTTGATTTTTATTTTGTCTAAAACATCTCACATTAAACACACACATGGAAATAATTCAAGGGATGGATGGATTTTGCTGAATTACTCTGACTTGTTGATCCTTAGAAACATGACAAAGAAGGCTGTTTCTTCTGACATTAGTTATATTTATGAACCAGTTTGCTCCACTTGATATGCCATCTGCTATGGACGCTTTCTTGCAATATTGGAGGCCAAATGCACTCATTCTAATGGAGAGTGAATTGTGGCCAAATATCATTATTGGTGCTGCAAAAAAGGGTGTAAGCTTTCCTACATCATTTCCTGCATATGTTAACCCATTCTTTTCTCCAACATATTTACAGCAGAGAATTTTCTTTCAAATTCCAAGTTCTTGATCATGAAAATGCTATGTAGAAAAAAGGTAGGTTCTGTGAAATCTTTTAGACACTTTAGCTATGTGTAGAGTTTTTATATGGTTATGTTTAATTGGTCGACTATGAATATTCGGTCTAGCCTCAAATAATTCTGAAGACCTTGAGGGTTTGCACTTGGGAGTTTGTAATAGTAAAATTTTTAATTGAAATAGAATTTTGATGTGATATAATAGGTGTTTGATTCAATGTTTTGAATGGTAAATTGACTTTTGATGTAACATTCTAATTGAAAATTAGTTGTTTGATTTGATAGTTTTGTGGGAAAAAGAAGTAATGGATAGTGAGAGACCAGTCCAAACCTACAGAATTAGATTAAAAAATTTGTATTTGTACTACTACTTAAGCTTAGCCACATGTTATTATTTATTCAATGTAGGACATTTGCCATTCATCATACCTTTTTACTCAGTGTGCTCCTTCAGGTGCAGGTGATTCCTTCACAAAATTTTATCCAGTGAACTTTTTTTCCCCATCAATTCAAAAACTGGACCTCCCCTTTACTTTGATACCGTGTAAACTTACATATAATTATAATTATCTATTAAAATATAGCAGGCTTAACTGTATATAATCCTGAAAGCTTAAAATCAACAGTTGTGTTTTGATCCTTATGTTTAAGTTCATCCAAACTTTATTATCTATTTTCTGTATGTCTTTGTTGTGTTGACCTAGTATTCTGGGCATTTCATTTCTCTATGATTTTATACCTGGATTATTGTATTTTCTATTTTCTAGGAAATTTTGTGCTGACTTTTGTTCTCTATCCAGATTGCATTGATATTGCTTAATGCTCGAATGTCTGCAAAATCATTTCAAAATTGGTCTCACCCACTCATTTGTCCATTGATCACATTGATGCTGTCAAAATTTTCATTGATTCTCCCACTGGTATGTGCTCTTATTTTGTCTTGAAAACTCTGAAGTTTTTGTTTCCATCTCTTTTTTTAACTTATCTTCTCTCCATTATCTTAAGAGTCCAACTGAAGGAATTCAATTTCAGCTATTGCAAGCCCCACCTTTTATCGTGCACTATTGCGGAGACCTTAAATGTGGTGAGACCGATAGTTGTCTTTTTGTACAAAAAGTGAAATGGGAAGTCTAATTAGCTACATTATAGGCAAGACATTTCTTTTTTCCTCATCTCTGCTGATCCATCATTCCATGACCTGTCCAAAATCTTGTAATAACAGCACATTTATTTTTTCGCATAGTTACTACAGCAGATGGACAGATTTGTTAAGTTTTTGCATCCTAGCTTCTTCCTACTTTTTTAATCAGTTTTCCATGTTTATTTTATATTGATATTTATTTATTTATTTGTTTTAATATTACTCCATTAGTCAATTAATGAAGACTAGCTGATTAACATGGAGATGCATTTTCGGTTGACCACTTTCAGCAATTGAAAAATTTGACATTTCTGAAGAGGGCAAGAAAAGTATGGAAGATTTTCAATCTCAGCTTTTGGATAGAAAAACATGGATGGCTTCTTCGATTCACAACGGCGAAGATGAAGGTAAACTATTCACTCATTCTATTGGAAACAGCCTTGGGTGTGCTGGTTATATGATCTTCCAATTTTTTTTTAAAAAAAGAAAGAAAGAAAAAAAGAAGCTGCACCCTATGTTGTTAGAAGCTAGAGAATTGCAGGGTGGCTCTCCCGCTATATCTTCATCCATTCTTTTTGGATGTGTGATTCCAATGTAGTTTGGGAGGAAGGATTTAAAGGAAGAATTATCAGTGCTGTAGAATGTCATTGAAGCAATCTGGGATGTTTTTAGTATTCATGAGATTATTTCCTTGCCATTATCTAAGTATTCACAATCAATTTCTATATTAGAGTTGATATCTTCTTTAACTTTGCAGTTATTCTATCCGTCCACAACTCACTGAAACAGTTCCATCCAGATATATTAACTATTATTGTGCCACGAAAGCCGCATCTTGGGCAAGACATTGCACTGGTATTGTCATATTGTTTGAGCTAGTTACTTTTTTGATGTATAGATATACGCATATCATCTACTTGAATACCTGTGTAGGACTTCATACCTTCTCTCTTCCAAATATGTTGAGAACATCATTTAAGATTTACATTTCTGTAATGTATGAACTCATACTATAATCTGCTGCCCCCGAGATGTATTAGCTTCTTTGGTTATCCCAATTAACTCTTTTGCTGCTTCTTAGATTTTGGATCTGGTTTTGTACGTCTGTTAGCATATAGTTAAAGCAATATACTTAAACCCCTCCATGTGATTTGTCAATTGTAGAGTAGACAAAAGAATGCCAAATCAACACATCATGAAGTCATGGATGCAGAGTTCTGATTAACTACTTCATAATTATGCTTCTCACAATGTATTTGTGTATCTTATAGCATGTTGGTGATTTCTCTTGTTAGAGTTTTAGCAATTTTTTGTTGAGTAATTTTTGTTGGTTGCACAAGCAGTGAACTTATTGTGGGTTTTATCTAATAATACAGAAATTGCGAAGGAGTGGAGTATGTGTAGCATTGCGGTCTCAAGGCGAAAAAATTACTCTTGACACTAATGTTTTTGTGGTTGACTCATTAGGTTTATATCTTTTGCTCCTAATATCAACTAAGGCACTCTATAGTCGAGGGTTATTCCTGTGAACACTGAATGAAAAAGCACTTTATTTTCCTCTCTACCCCTCCCTACCTCTTTTTCTATTATTAACTTTATCCATTTACCAGAACTTTGTGCATTCCTCATTTGTGATTTATAGCTAAAATGAAGCTTTAACTCTCAGCCAGTGGCGGGTAATTTAGTGCGAAATTTTTAATAACTTATATAATGGAGCCTTAAACTTGTTATGGAGCCGGGTAAGATCAAGGTTTACACTAGAAGGGGGAAGAAGGACCGTACTCATCTCGGGCTAATCGTGGCGCAGGAGTGAATACTTAATTATTAATTATTATTCTATCTTTTATTATTCCTTTATTATTTTATTTCCTATTTAACTCTTGAATTATAAGTCTTGGGCTTGGCCATAAGTCCGCCTATATATATGGCGCATCTAGGTCATGTTAGATTAGGCGGTCATTATTTTGGTTTTGGTTACAGAGCGGATTGGTTTTCCTCTGTGATACTCTATTTCTTTTGATTCGAATAAATTCTCTTCGATAACCCTAAGTCATAACATCTTTGCTGTCTCACGCCTATTGCTCACAGAATTTCTTACCTTTTCTGATTTTCGATTTTCAATCTTTGATGGTCAAAATGAAATTTTCATAGATTCAATCTCTTGCATCCTTGTGCTTTCTCTTAGAGGTTTTCATTCTAAATTTTAGGTTTAAACACCTCTTGTATCAATCAGTGTGCTTGTGTTGACCCTCTATATATTTAGCCAGTATATCTATTTATGTTAAGGTTGTGTTTACTATTTTGGATTATTTCATTTCCATGGCCTTAGGATGTTAGACAATTTTCAGAATTTTTTAATTTTGGAAAACATTTATATGGGTACTTGGACGGAGCATCTCAGGAAGTTTCTTTATAAAACCTCTTGGGTTGACCGAATCTACACATACAACTGGATAACAAATTTCTTGCTTGCTTGGATGTTAATGATATGTAGAAAGATGATGATGTATGGCAGGTGTGATCCTTCACAAAGTATAGATTATCTATATGTATATTTAATTATCCTGTTTTTTCTTTGATAGGTGAATTGAGGCTCTTCTATAGATTAACTCCGATAGCTGTAATAGGAGGTTCATTCTTACAAGGATGCACCGGCCATAATATATTGGAAGCTGCTGAAGCTGGATGTGCTGTTTTGACTGGTTATTTATCTTTCAACTCTATCTTCCATGCTTTATTTCATGGGCTGAATCAAGAGTTTTAGCTTTTTAAGTGGGCTTCTTTGTTATTAGGTCACCATTCTGGCCACTTTTCCCACATGGTGTCAGAAATGCAAGGGGTGAACCCCCTTTCTGTTCTGCAGGTAATACGACTCTCTTGCCCAATTGCATTCTCTTGCATACACTGAGACTGCCAACATATACTCATAATAGATACAAATTGATTGTTTTCCTCGTAACTAAGCTTGCTATGTTTTTCATGGAAAGAGCATCATAATTAGTCAATTAGGCACTGTAGTTCATCATTAATCAATGGAAGGTGTTTTTCCCTCTTGGCTTTGTCTTTATGGCCTACAGAGGACTTTATAGAAAGCTTTTACTGAGAGTTTAGAAATTTCTTACAATATGAGAACTGAGTCAGGAGGACAACAGATGAAAAGAAAAGAATCCTATTTTCATACAGTGTTGGAGGTCAGTAATTTGCTAACGCAAAAGCCTTACTACCTTTTATGAACCTTTTCTAGCCTTTAAAAACCAATACACGGATTATCCTCTTTATGGTGATGGCTTGCTCTGAAATTAAGGGTACACTTGACTTGGTATGGGGGTTGAAGGAGAAAATTGGAAGGTAATTCTATAAGAACACATTAGGAGCATGGTTTTTAAAGGAGATGGAACTGGGCTAAATGAAGCTCACTTATAATAGAAATATAAATGATGTGTTTAGATAGGTTTTGGAAGTGTTTTAGAGTTTTGGGAATAATAAAAATGAAAAAAAAAATAGGTATGTGATGTGATGTAAATAGGAGTTGGATTTTATATTTTGTAAAGAAAATAGGTTTTTTTTATGTAATATTTTAAATGAAAAATAATTTTTTGATGGGATGTTTTTTGAAAAAATATATTGTTGTTGAATTGTGCAAAAAATTATTTGAAAACATATGTAAACAAAGCAAGAATAACAACTCCTCCTTAGCCAAGGATTTTTTTATATTGTTTCAATTATTCCATCACAAAAAATGAAAGAAATTGTAATTGGAAATTTAAGGATTTGTCTGGATACTGCTTGTGTTTAAACACTGGTTTGATGTAATGAAGACTCCACTGAATTAAATACGGTCCATAAATCTAAGAAATAGTGAGAATTCTTAACCTCTCTCAATTCAGGGCTGCCTTACTATGGGCTATTCATGGTCCTACCGTAGAAAATACTTTGTGAAAGAAAATAGTATATATTGTGTTCGGTATAGTTCTTTAGATGGTATAATTCTGATATTTTTTTTATTATTTTATTATTTTTTATAATTATTTTGATTTTATCTTTTGTGTAGAAAATATTTTACAAATTTGTATTTAGAAGGGTATAATGGGAAATGCAGTCTATAAATAAATTAAAATTGCAATAGTTTTAGGACATTACAAATTAGAAATAATAACAAAACATTTGAGACGGAAGGAGTATATAATAATATCATTTGGGAAATGCAGTATATAAAAGGAGTGCAATAATTTGATATTTCCTTTTGAAGATTTCATAATATATCATACATCGTTTTTTTGTTTTTGTTTAGTTAATATCAAATATGTTATAATGTTAATGTTTAACACTGAAAAATTTGTTAAATTGGTTAATATTCTGTTCATCCTTGTATTACATATCTAATGATGGAAACTGAAAAGTTAATAAGATGAAAAGATATATTTTACTGCATACAAAGCAAAACTTGGGTTTTTCCAACAACGTTCTTATCTCTTTATCGTTCATTTCATTAATCCTTCTGCCGTATCAAATGCACTTCAAATGTCACCAAATGCAATGGTTACCTGAGGCATGAATTTATCTATGTTTATTAAAAGATTGGAGAAGCATGTACATTAACTATGGCAGAATGAGTTGTAAATCTAAAGCAGCAGTATTTAAGTATATCTTGGTAAAACGTCAATACCGTGTGCATATATCAGGTTTCTGGAGAAATGCTTGCAGATGCTGTTGGTGAGCTCCTTAGTAATGCCAAAGTTCTGGAATCTCGTCGAATGGCTGCTAAACAAGCATACCGTACTTTATCAAACGGAATTGTTGAAAATATTTGGCAGATGCTAGACATCCACATACTCAGGAAATCATTATGATGATACTTAGAGGCTACTCTAAGAATTGTAAGTGAATTAATATGTTATTTGTGCATAGGAGAGGACATATTGATGGTTCTTCCGACCCCCTTTTTATATGAAATTTCCTACATTATGTTGTCATGAGTAGTAGCCAATAATGCATTGGGTTCTTTTTCTGGTTTTTCCGGGCTTACTTTTGAGGCAACTAATTAATCTGCTCTACATTCTAGTTGTGAATTGGAATATATTCGTTACAATGACTTTCAATGCCATTGATAGTCTATCTATTCTCCTACCCCTTTATATAAACACAATGTGCAAATCATGATCTTAATTCTTCTTAACTCTATTTGCCATCTTGTGCTTCTTTATTGTCTTCTCCGACTACCTGCTTGAGAAGCCGCATACCCCACCGTTCTCCATACCTGTTTGGTGTGGGATCCTTTCAATTCTCATCTTAATGGAATAGTTCCTTTCAGTTTTTATTAACTTTGCAAGGAGACTATTTTTTAGTTTAAAATTGTCGACATAGGAACTCTGTTAACTAGCCAATCAATCTAGATATGTTTTTTTTTTCATGTCAGGAAGACCTTAGGAACTCTTGAAGACGATGCCTTAATTTAAATACTTACAATTTTTATGACTGAAGAACCGAATCAATAATGTTTGGTTCCAAATCATATATATACATGTAGGTAATGTGGTCTTGTTCTTAAGGTTAATGCAATTCACACATACATGTAGACATTCACGACGAACATTCTCATGTTTTTGGTTTTTGGTGCTCCCTACAGACGGTGATCGATGTTCTGTTGATTTTCTGGTGTTTTGAAGAATCATGTACAAGGACAATATGTCTTGCCAGAGGATGTTTCATTGTCGGGTCTCGATCAAATGGCTCGCAGCATCAGTTGCAGGTAATATGAATAGCTTAGACTATAGTTTGCTTCCCAGATGAATACTAACTAAGGTAAAGATCATATGCTGAATTGTTATTGTTATTTTTTATTTGTTTTTCTTACAGTGAAATGGTAATAATCCATTAATCCTTAACGAAATCGCATATCAATCAACAAAATGAAATTGAAATCATTTTTTGTCTTTTATGATTGTTGTGTTGTTAGAAATATAAACAAAAGTTGCTTGAATATGAATAGAATACTCTTTTTACTTTCGTATGTTTCATTATTTAGCATTTTTTATTTTAAATTAATAATTATGTTTATTATATCATAATTATTTTTACTAATATATTTTTTAATTATTTACTAATTATTTTATAGTTAAAATTTTATGTCTAATCTAGAGTGGATAATTTAAATGAGACGAGGGAGAGAGAGTAATGATAGAGAAGATTTTGAAGGTGTGTTTGGTCTTTGACGATTTTGTGTTTTTGGTAACATATGTTTGAAAGGAAAGATATATAAAAAAAATATCTGTAGGAAAATGACTTGAGATTTGAAAATGTGATTTGATGACGTTTGCTAGTGTAATGATTAGGTAGTGATTGTATGTAGTTGCATGATTATTTATGCTACATTAAGAATAAAATATGCTTAAAGTTAAATTAAAATAACTGATGATGTAACTGAAATAAATTAAATGTGTGAAGATGTTTTGAAAGTTATACTCAATAATAATAATAAGAAGAAGAAGAAGAAGAAGAAAGATGTGTTTTTTTGGAATATTTTATCATTCACATTTTTTTTTTCTTCAAAAGCATAAAATTAAATTAAATATTTATTTTCTATTTTCTTATATCACATTAAAAATTAACTTCACATTAAAATTACATAAGTATATATTTATATAATATCAAATAATTTTTTTAAATTTTAAATTTTATTATTTAAAATTCAAGCTCAAAATTTAAATTTAAATTTAAATTTTTGTTTTTTTAAATAAAAGATAACATCATTTATTTGGCATAATTTTCTATAAAAATATAGTATTACTATCTCCGTCTCTTTGATATTTGTTTTTTTATATTGATATTTAAATACTCCTTCCGTCCCGGTCCAAATGGGTTATTTGGAATTTTGTAGTAGATTAAAAAATAATATAATGTTATTAGTTAGTAGAAGTGTATAATTTATATAAAAAGTAATTGTATGTATAATGATATGTTTGTAATTTAGATAAAAGTTAAGGGTATTTTAATATTGGTATATGATTACTTTTACTAATACAAGAAAGTGATACTCTGGACTGGGATGTACGAAAATGATAAAAATGATACTTTGAGTGAGATGGAATAAATATTAATTATTATATCAAAATGTAGTATAATATAGATATAATAATATTTGTATAAAAAAAATTATATAAATATAATAATATTTTTAATTATAAGTACAATTACTCAAAAAGTAAATATAAACTTATTAAAAACGGAATGAGTATCTTTTTAACAAAATATCATGAAAACTTTTCTTATTGGATGATCATGATACTTCCCGAAAATTGAAAGGGTACTATCGAATTGGATCAATTTAATAAACAAGATTTGAGCCGGTGACCAAATCAGAATCTCATTCCTTATGAAAATACTATCTAAAATGGTGTAAATTTAAGAAATAACACAATGGATGTTTTATTTTGAGTGTTTGAATTTTGTGTTTAGAATTTGATTAATAAAAAATTGTAATTGAAATAATTATATAATACTCCCTCTGTGACACTATTTTCATTTTTGTTTGTCCCGTAATAATTGAGATCTTTTTATTTTTTGTAAAAATTATTAAAATAAATCAACTTAAATAACTACCTAACATACAACATCATAGATGACGACGTAGGACCCATTCAAAAACCTCTTTATTTCTACGTCTCTCTTAAAAAAAAATAATATTTGTATATATATATTTAAAACTACATATATTTTTATAAAATTGATTTATGTTAATTATAAATAAACATTTTTTTATTTACTGGTATCATAGAAGATTTTATTATCTAATATTCATATTGCATATATTTTTTAATTTCTATATAATTTTTAAATATTTAAACATATATTTTAATTTTTTTATCATATATATTAAATTTACTTCGAACCTATAAGTATAATTAATTATACAAAAAATAATATAATAATATCATAACTAATTATTATTAACTAATTAAACATCCTCATCCGTGTTCCTAATCAAAGAGTTCAATTCCAGTGTGACGGACGGAATATGATATAAATAAATGATTGATGCAATATTTGAAATATAATATTAATTTTTAATATAATATAAAAATAAAAATTTAATTTAATATTCTTAAGAGAACAAATTTAATTCAATGAATAATAAAACTTGAATAAAACCCTAAAAAAAAAACACAACAAATACCTTCTACCATACTGTACTTCCTATGGAAATAATTAAGCACAATGTTTATTAATGTTGACCTCTGGCACATACACGTGCTCACCACGTGATTACTTTTTGTACGAACCGTGATGCATGACGTGATTAATTTTTGCCTCTTCATCCGGGGTGGAGATAATAGTACTAATAATAATATTATTATTATTATTAAAAATAGCGACAAAGTCGCTTTTTACAAACGAGATAGAGAAGTCGTGTTTTTGAAAGTTGCTGTGTCGTGTCCGTTCGTCAGCGGACATCAAACCTGAATCACGATGCACAAGGTGAAGACGCAAAGTGTAATGACATAAATGCCCTTCCGCCCCTGCGTATATGTACGGCTATTGATTGTTCTTCGGGCGTCTGTGTCTGTTTCTTGTTCCTCAAGTCCCAAACCAAGGGGCCGCCCACTGGTCGATTTCTCTTCGTATGTGAGCAGAGAATTGCCGGAAGAATTTTGTCAAAGATGCATTCCAGTCATCTCCTGCTCGAAGAGCCAATCCGGATGGCTTCCATTCTGGAGCCATCCAGAGCGGTGAGTTCATTATTCCCTATCAGCTCCTCGTTTGCTTTTGATCTGTATGTGTGATTTCTAGGGGTTGAGGATCTGTTATTTTTGGATAAAATTTGTGTTCTGCGCAAGTGATTTGTGATTTTTTTGGGTAATTAATCTGGTCTGACCTAACTACTGTAGAGTTACTTTCCTGCGATGACGAAGATCGTGGGAACGCTGGGGCCGCGTTCGCGGTCTGTAGAGGTTATTTCCGATTGCCTGAAGGCGGGGATGTCCGGTAATGGAATGGAATTTCTCAATTTCTGGTTTGAATTTTTTTTTGGATTGAAATTCTTAATTTCTCCATTGTTTTGTCGTTTTTTTGTGTTCTTGTGCGCGAGCAGTGGCGAGATTTGATTTTTCATGGGGAGATGCTGAGTATCATCGCGAAACTTTGGATAATTTGAAGGCTTCGATTAAAAGCACCAAGAAACTCTGTGCTGTATGTATATTGATGCATTCAATTTGCTGTTAGCATATTCTTCGTTCTTCTTCTGCTTTACCAATTCTATTTTTTTGTAAAAGCTGGTTAACTTGTTGAAGGTAAATTAAGCTGTTGAGTTTATGCTGCAGCTGTTTGTTCCTTTCTTTGTCATCTTGTGGTGTTCTCATTATTCTTCCAAAGTGGTTGTGGAATTTAACTTCTGTCCACAGACAGGAGAAGACAGTTGTTAAGGAAATGTGTTTTTTTAACTGCCTTTCAGGTTATGTTGGATACTGTGGGCCCTGAGTTGCAGGTTGTCAATAAAAGTGAGAAGGCAATCACACTTAAGCTTGATGAGAAAGTTACTCTGACACCTGATCAAGGTCAAGAAGCCACATCTGAGGTTTTGCCAATCAACTTTGCTGGTTTGGCCAAGGTTAAATGCTTCAACCATCTCTAGAATTACCTTAAAATCTAACTTGTGTTATAAGTATGTTTTTTGCTGCTTAATATGTTTCAATATAGCACATCCATTTAAATCCTTGAACCAAGAGTTATTGCGATTGTTTGTGTTAACGAGCTAGTAGTTGGTCTTATTAGTAATGCTGTTTAATGAGCTATGAAATCCACACACACATATATATATATATTTCAAAATACCATCAAGGAATGGAAGTTGGCATTTTTCGAAATCAACATATTCGGGTAGATATCAGGAAAATTTGTAAGTCTCATATAAAAATGCAATTCAAAGTATGATAGAAAATCTTTTGAACCTCAGGAGTTGGGATGCATAATTTACATTGGTGTTATTATCACATTTTTTCTGCCAAAGTGCTCGGTAAGTATAATAGTATGCTTTGCCTAATTAATTTGTCTAATATTTGCAGGCTGTGAAGGCAGGAGACACCATTTTTATTGGCCAATATCTATTCACAGGAAGTGAAACCACTTCTGTTTGGCTTGAGGTATGGTGTATGAGGCTATTTTGAGTTATATGCATTCATCATCTCTAAATTATTTATTACCGCGTCCATTAAATTACTTATGTTCACCATCAATTTTATTATATTTTATTTTATTTTATTTTCTGTTTACCTTTTTCTTTGGGGTTCACAAGCACATTTTTGCATTCTTGAACATTTTCTGATAAAATTGGACAGGCTCTTGACACACACTTATGTTGTTTTTGCATCTCTTGAACTTATACCTCAGTATCTTCATAGTTTTCATGCTAGTTTTATTTTCATATTGTGCCATAATGGTACATGTAGACTAAACTTTGAGGTTTGCCATTGATTATGAATAATCCATTACCCATTTGTTACAATTATTGCCCTTCCTGAAACTGATAATTTTGTTGGACAGGTAGATCAAGTAAAAGGCGAAGATGTTGTTTGTGATATCAAGAATGCTGCAACATTGGCTGGGTCATTGTTTACAATGCATGCTTCTCAAATTCGTATTGATCTGCCCACTTTATCCGATAAAGATAAGGAGGTGAGTTTATGAGATTCAGATACATATGCTTTAGGTGTAATGTGCCTCTATGAGATAGGTTTTCGATGGGCTGACTTGTGGATATGGTAGTATTGCATCTAGTTCTTCCACTTTGATGTTTTGTTGTAATAGTGGAAAGATGGAGAATATTGAGAAAAGAAACTTGATTTTGAGGAAAACTACATTCATCGGCCTTGAGTTTTCAATCATTCATACTTAGTGTGATGATGAACCATCGAAGTTTTATTTTTCACTCTGTGATTGCTGTGGTCGTGTGGTTTCTTAAAATGTTTTGACATTGTTGAAAGTCATGGTAGCTATATCTGTTATGTTTTTTAGTTTTACTTGAAAGAAAAGCTTTTTCTGTTCTTGTTTGTTTATGCATATCTTTCAACATTTACTTAAGAGTAATATGTACTTTTCACTCTAGGTTATCAGCTCATGGGGTGCTCAGAACAAAATTGACTTTCTATCTTTGTCTTATACACGTCATGCAAAAGATGTCCGTGAGGTAATTCCTTTACCTTCATCATATATATTTGATGCATCGTTTACTTCTTCAGAACCTTACTTATTCCTTATTGACTGCAGGCCCGTGAATACCTCTCCAAGCTTGGAGATATCAGTCAGACTCAAATTTTTGCTAAAATCGAAAATGTAGAGGTGAGTTTGATGCACCATATTTACATCATCTCTCCATAATTCATAGGATGACATGTGATGCAACTAAATCCATGGAGTACCATTTTTCAGGGTTTAAACCATTTTGATGAGATTCTCGAAGAGGCGGATGGCATCATCCTTTCTCGTGGGAATCTTGGCATAGATCTACCACCTGAGAAGGTTAGCCGCTGTGATGCTTGATTAATAAGGGATAGCAGTTTGTTCTAAACTTTGACCTGCCTCTTAATTGTTTCTTCCATTCTTTATCCTGATTATACTTTCATGTACCAAAGTGCATGAAAAAAATTCTAAAGTTTGAGTTTTGCAGCTATACTCTGATGCTTTTTTACTGTTGAGTTCTCTTAAGTTCTTTTATCTTCTGTTCTACTTTGAAGTTTGATGTTGCGGCATAGGTTTCTTGCTGCTTCATTATTAACTTTTTTACAACACAAGTGGATGAAAGATTGTTTTATCTATAGCTGCTTCTGCATACAACGTGCAATGTGAATCACCTGGTTACAACTCTTTACATATATCAGACTTGAATATTAAACATTTTATTGTCGATATTTGTGTGTGCCTGTACATTTTTCAATTTGTTCCCCACACGCCTGCATCTCAAATTATTCAATTTGTTCCCCACACGCCTGCATCTCAAATTAGCCCATTTTATGTAAATGCTTTGCCTTCTCAACTGTGGCAATTTTTTTTGTTATCAAATGTTTAATTACTAGGGGGAAGACATTTCTGAAGTTCTTCCAGCCATGTGGCCGTACATGTACTTTGTGAAAATATATATTTTTTTGTTTAGTCATTTGATTGTTGATATATTCTTTTCATGATTTAAAACTTTCGTCTGTATTGGCAGGTTTTTTTGTTTCAGAAATCTGCTATTTACAAATGTAATATGGCCGGAAAGCCTGCGGTAGTAACGCGTGTTGTTGATAGTATGACAGACAATCTTCGGCCTACTCGTGCAGAGGCAACAGATGTTGCAAATGCTGTTTTGGATGGTGAGTTACTGCCATGAAATCTTGGAGCAAAATTTACTTTTTATTCCTGCTTTTTTTAAGCCTAAGTGTTTATTAGTCTATTTGGTTACTGGTTGGAACACGGGTTGTCACTGTACTCCAAACTTTTTTCATCTCAATTATTTTTTCAAATTGTCTAACAAGTGGGACCCACTTATAATTTCCTATTTCTATTTCTTTCCGAATACACAAATATATTTGTGTATATATATTTAAAATTTTCTGTTTTTTAAAATTAGTTAGTGATATACTCTCCGGTTTTTAAAATTTAATTTTAACAAAATAATATCTATATTATTGTATATATTTTATTGAAGTACAGTTAGTAAAACCTTCGAAAACACATTTTACATTTATTTTTAATCAAATATATATTAACCATCATCTAATTTACAGTCATACAATATTTCATTAAAACCCAACTTCCAACCACAACTCAAACTTACAAGTTACAACTAAATATTTTCACTAGTGCACAAAAGGTCACTTCTAAATTTCTGTCTTATGTTCCATGAGAATTATCGTTAACAAATATGTTTCAGGATGTGATGCGATTCTTCTTGGAGCTGAGACACTACGTGGATTATACCCTGTTGAAACTATTTCAACTGTGGGCAAAATTTGTGCTGAGGTACGAACTCGTGGCTATTACATTTATCCAAGATATTTATAGGCATTTTGTACATTGTGACTATCTATTACCGTAATCTCATTGTACTTATTTGGATTGGGTTGGTTTGGTCCTGAATTTCTTAATATAAACTCATTGCAATGTTGCCTAATCACCTTGCACTCTTTTCAGGTTTTTGCACCCTAGGGGCCTCACTTGTGGAGTGTTTCCTGGTGGTTTATGGTTTATTAGAAGTTTAGTATTCTGTTGCGTTTCTGTTTATTGAATTTTGTGTTCATGATAGCCTGAGTAGCCTGATATGTTTCTCAAAATTGAACGAACTTTGTTGCCTAAAAAGAAGCAGATGGATAAAGACCCACGTGTGTTTGTTTGTGGGTTTGGATTTTTGGATTTGGATTTTTGAATAGTAAAAGTTTGAAGGTGAATAGTTGTTTCATGCGAGATATAAATAGATATTGATTTAATGTTTTGAATATAAAATAATTTTTTAGTATAATAGAAAAAAAAAAAAAAAGTAATTGTTTGATTTGATAGTTTTGTAGAAAAAAAAAAATTTGAATGGTAAAAATCTTTGGTAAATCTAAATATGAAAATGGTAAATTTCTTCGTTCACCTTGAATTGAGAAATTTGGAAATATATTGCTTGTTTTTGTTTGCCTAATATCTTTCCACTTCGATGCCTTGCCAAAATACTGTTACTAGCCCGATGTAGTCTGCATTCTTAATTATATCTATGCTTATGTGTTGCTGTATTCTGGTTTTAACATGTCTGTTAAACGATTTCTGTTTATTAGGCCGACATAGTCTTTATCGTTGGCATTGTTGTGTAGGCTGAGAAGGTTTTCAATCAAGACCAGTACTTCAAGAGGACGGTGAAATTTGTCGGCGAACCGATGACCCATTTGGAATCAATTGCATCTTCTGCGGTATGATTCAAATAAAGAGTAACACTTCAGGGAAAAAATCGAAAGAAGAAATCTGACTTCTTGAAGTCGGTTCTTGAGTTTCTGATACTTTGCCGAAGTCAAATATTTTGTATGTCACATTTCAGGTTCGAGCAGCTCTTAAAGTGAAGGCTTCAGTTATCATATGTTTTACCTCATCAGGACGGGCCGCTAGGTAATTTTGTAGTTTTGAATCTTTCTGCAGTCGGTTCTTGCCAATCTTAGAACTGTTTTTAATTGCCCGTTGGGTTAAATACAGATTGATTGCGAAGTATCGACCAACAATGCCCATTTTGTCTGTTGTCATACCTCGGCTCAAGACGAATCAGTTGAGATGGAGTTTTAGCGGCGCATTCGAGGTATGAAAAAGTCGTGAATCTGAGTCTGTAAAGATATTCAATGTTGAATACATATTATTACATAAGCTTTGATGATCTAATGGAACTTCTCCGCATATCAGGCTAGACAATCACTCGTCGTACGTGGCCTTTTCCCGTTGCTCGCCGATCCCCGACATCCTGTAAGTACGCAATTCCTTTCGCCGGATTAGCTTTGTTCCGTTCACTAATGGTCGATTCCTCACCGGCTCTATCTTACAGGCCGAGTCCAAGAATGCATCCAATGAGTCGGTCCTCAAAGTCGCGCTCGACCACGGAAAAGCCTCGGGAGTCATCAAGCCACACGACCGCGTCGTCGTGTGCCAGAAAGTCGGAGACGCCTCCGTCGTGAAGATCATCGAGCTCGAGGATTAAAACCTCCATCCATCCATCCATCTGTTGTCTGCAGTTAGTTTCTTACCCGAATTCGATGTGTTTATTACTGCTACTTATTCGACGATTTATCCGAATCGACCAATCCTGTTTTGCCTTTTGTCCGTGATGATGGATCTATCAAATCAAATCTTGGCTGTAATAAAGACGCATCTCCTCGTAAGTAAGCGTTGCGTTGGTTATTTCGTTCCTTGCTACATTCTTAAATTCTGCTCTAACATTACTACTACTAATTATCCTGTAATGGAAGATGGATGATGATCAACAGCCCTCCTGCTGCTGCTGCTGCTATGGTAATGGCGATGAAGATCCACGACGTTGACAATGTCGAGCTCTTTCTGCCTCAGCATCAACGCCATCCTCTCATTCTCCAGCTTCAGCCTCTCATTCCCCAGCTTCTCCTTCTCCATCTCCCTCTCCTTCTTGCTGCTAAACCTCAGCCATTTCAGCCGCTGCTTTTCGAGCTCCATCGACCTCGACTGCAGCCCGATTCTCTGCTCCTCCACCTGCATCTGCTTCCCCCTCATCCACTGCATCTTCTCCGCCGCCGTTCTCCCGCCGTCCTCCCACACCGCCGCCACCTCCCCCCTCAGCCGCTCCACCGCCGCCGTTCCCTTCCTGGCCCTCTTCCTCGGCACCTCTTCTTCATCATCTTCGTCCTCGTTATCGTCATTTTCGTCGCTATCTTCTTCGTTGTCATTGTCGTCGTCGTCTTCTTTAGTGGTTTCGGATGAATGTAGGCAGGCGGCGGGAGGGGCCGGTGCCGCGGCCGCCTCCGGTGGGGCGGCGTGGGCGCAGCTGTTGTGGTAGGCGCACATTTCCCGGAAGAAGAGGTGTTTGGAGTTTAAGAGCTTTTTGACTTCTTCCTTGAGCTTGGGGGAGAGATGGTCCATGGCGTGGAGTAATGACTGATCCTCGACGACGCGGCAGGCCGTGCCTTTTCCGAGGATGTCGTTGACGCGTTTGTAGCGTTTGTTGAGGTCGTTGAATTTGTCCTCGCACTGCTGCGGGGACACGTAGAATCCTCTCTCCATCATCGCCCTCGACACCGATTTCCATTTTCCTTTTTTCTGCAGGGCGGCGCCGCCGCCTTTTTTCTTGTCGGCGGCGGGGGGGTCGGCGACGGCGACTTCGTCGCCGATGTAGAAGACGACCATGATGAGGAGGCGGACCATGTTGTCCGTCCACTTCATCCTCTGCCAGGGGGAGGCATTGTTGTTGTTTTTTCTGGCGCCGGCGCCGTCGTCGGCGCTGTTCTCCGCCGTGAATCCGCCGCCGCCGCCAGGCTCGTCGTCGTCGCTCAGCGTCAGGGCCTGCGGCTGGGTTTTCGTCTTCGAATTGGCTCCTCCTCCGCCGCCGCCGTACGGATACCTCGATTGGGGATTTTGCGGCGGCGGCGGTCGGTTGTGGTGGAGCGACATTTCCAGTCCGATCAACCCCGGCGGCGGTTGCGCATTGGAAGAATTATACATTCCGCCATGGATACCGTTAGTAGCTTCCATTCCAACAATGAATGAATCAATCAAAATGAATGGTGTGAATATAGATTTATATATATATGTGTAAGTAATGAAATGGGGATTTGATTTGAAGAAAGGCATGAGAGTATAAGGTGGGCGAAGGAGGGGGAAGGAGCAGCTGGTTTTGGATCAGTTGGGCAGCGCACCAAAACTGCCTATTGCTATTGCCCATGGTTTTGTGGTTTCTGTTCTGCGCCACAAACGGAAATAACACATCAAATATATATACATATGTAGAGAGAGAAAGAGAGAGTCCACAGGTTTTGCAAAACAGTGTATTTATTACACTTCCTTCCCAACCTAAACAAATCTGGAGCTTCATTGATGAATTAATCTCAGCCGTTGGTTTCTCGACATTGAATGGTAGGGTCGGTCGGCTGGACTAGTCCTGACTTGGTTTCATTATTCCCAAATTATCCCTAATATGCATGCTTTTTATTTTTAATTATAAGTTAAAAAACATAAAAAATCCGGTAAATTATTTAACATTTACTTTCTTTTAAATAAAAAGGTATACAACACTTTGTATTTTATTTATTGGGTATGTTGATATAAAATTTGCACAAAATATCATTTTCGTTCAAAATTGTTTTTATACAACTATAAAAATAAATTATTGATCAATTATTTATTTATTTATTTTGTTTAAAAAATTATTTAGAATATTTTACGTTTTTTATTTAAAATTATTTAAAATAGGTTTATAATAGAATTAGGTTTAAGGCAAGATTAATAGTTAAAAGCTTTTACTAAAAAAAAAAAACCAATATATTATAATAAAATTTTTGTCTCTGTTGTCAAATTTATCCCTGTTAAAGTTATGTTAACTCTAGTTGCATTTTATGATTGAGAGTCAACATAATTAGATGTTAAAATAGTTTTTTTTTTATTTTTTATTTTTTTTTTATATTGTGAGTTGAATAAGAAAATTTATATGAAACAATTTGAAAGCTTTATTGATAAAAACCAAATGAATCATGTTTGTTTGTTAAGTAAATTGTTGTATGGTTTATAACAATCACTTGGACAGTGTAATATTAAATTTGATAATTGTATGCAAAATCTTGAATTTACTAAAATCAAATTTGATTATTGTTTGTATTTTAAGATCGTTAAAAGCTAACATATTTTTCTTCTAATTTATTTTGATAATATGTTAATTATTAGTCTATATTTAAAGCTGATTGATCAAGTGATCAAATGTTTGTGTGATAATTTTGACATGAAATTTGTTGGGTGATGCCAAAGTGATTTTAGACATGAGTATCACTAGAGATAAGAAAAATTTAAGACTGTGTTTGAACCAATCAGCCTATATTTCGAAAATTGTTAAAAAATTTTCTCTGAGTGATGTTAAATATGTTTATGTTCCTATGACTTCTAAGTTTGTGTTAAGTAGAGACCAATGTCCAAAGTCGGAATCTGATTGCGAATATATGAAACATGTGTCATATTTTAATGCAATACGTTCCATAATGTACTTAATGGTTAGTACTAGGTCAGATTTAGCCTATGAAATTAGTTGTTTATGTAGGTATACGTCGAATCTTGGTTTAAAATATTGATATGCATTTAAATGAGTCTTTATATACTTAGTTGGCAAAATAAATGTTGGTATTGTCTTTGGTAAACATACTGTGGTTTCAAATTATGCACATGATTGAGATAGTAAAAAAAGTACAACTTCTTATATTTTTACTTTGTGTGGAACTTGTATAAGTTGGAAATCTCAATTGCAACACATTGTAGCACTATCTACAAAAGAATATAAATATGTAGCAATAATTAAAACTTTAAAAGAAGCATTGTGGTTAAAAGGTTTAATAAGTTAATTAAGTTATTTGCAGTATGTTGTTACTATTTTTTCAAATAGCCAGTCTGGAATCCAATTATGTAAAAAACTCTGGATTCCATAATAGAACTAAACATATTGACATGCGTTTCTATTTCATACGTGATATTGTATCTAGAGATATATTAAGATTAGAAAAGATTCCTTTTGAATATAATCCATATGATATGGGTACTAAAGTTTTGTCTGTAAAAAAATTTGTATCTTGTATGACAATTATATATTGTAGTTGGTAGTCTAAGTTAATGTCTTAAATTAACATTATGTATTTTCTTTTTAAATGTGCCCGCGACCTGTGCTTAAACCAAAACCCACATTCCTTACCTTCCTTAGCCTGACCCGGTTTCTTGACCTGTATTCGATGCTGGATCCGCGTCTTTTTAATGAGACTCAATCCTGACCATCCGATCTATATCATTCATCTTGGCCGTTGGTTCCCTTTTGCCCTATGTATATATAGACAGAGAGAAGGGCGCCGTCACTTACTTACACTCCCGCTCTCACTCTAAATCTCTCGCCCTCTTTAGCCTCTCTCAAACTGTCTCTTTGTCTCACCTTCCAGCGGCGTTTCGCGGCAATTCACAACGGTACCTTTCCTTCTGTAATTTTGTGGAGTTCATTTGGCATGTTTTTCCCCTGTTTGTTGTTGTTCGTAGCCGCAAGAGGCTCGTTCAACGCTGTAGGCATCCGTTTGCCTTGTTTATTTTTCTGTGGGGTTATTTTTTTGTGTATCATGGGTTTTGGGCCAGTTATTTTGTGTGGTCGCTAGTTATGTGTTTTGTGTTAATTTTGTATTTTTGAGTTAGTTTGGGGCTGAGCCTAAACCAAATGTAATTAAAAGTTTTGTCGATTCCGTAATAAATCTCGATTTATTTCTTTATTTTTAATAACAATTTACAACCAAAGTAATATGATATTGACATTAAGAACATATGTTCCCGATAAGCCAACAACATGATGCATATTTTAAAATTATACATGAATGATATGATGTAAGTGTATCAAAAAATTATAAAGATATTACAATGCTATATTTTTTGGAATAATTTGCAGTTTGTCATTTCTTAAATTAATAAGATTGATTACAAAAATTCAACTTGAAATTGAGGACCTATTTTTAGAAAAATAAATCACAATTATTTACACAAATATTTGTTATTTAACACATCAAAAATAATATTTCTTATAATACTTTGTTACAATATTCTATATTATATTTTTATTAATTTATATTCTTTTCATATAACACAATTAATTTACAAATTTTAGGTACCTTCAACAATTAAAAATTTAAAACTAAATCAAAACTAAAAAAAAATCAAACAATAATTAACGTAATTTAATTCACTTCTTTGCCACTGACACACAACCCCAAATCCTCTCTCATGTCTTGCGCTCGAAAATCCTTCCGTTGGGTGCCGTCGAGAGGCCAATTCAAGTGAGTAAATAGTGCATGAATGCCTTTGACGGGAGTGGCAAAGGATGTGCCGACGCATTTACTCATAGAAAATGACATCAATCTCCATTATGTCGAACTCTTCATTGGTGTCAAGGTAATAGCTAGGTTGAACCGTCGACTCAAGGAAGAAGAGGAAGCACTCCCCTTTCCCTAATATTCACCTTGAGTCATAAAAGCCTTTCTGACTCGGCCTGGCCCGGTCGCCCGAGTAGAGGAAGACTCCCTCTGAGACTCTCTGCTGCTAAGATTTGACTCCTTTTTATAGAACCCATGCATCTAACCAGCTCGCGTGGTTCACCGGTTCCACCGCGGGTCGATACGCACATCGCCTAGTATCCATTGTTTACGGCTAGGACTACTGGGGTATCTAATCCCTTTCGCTCCCCTAGCTTTCGTCTCTCAGTGTCAGTGTCGGGCCAGCAGAGTCGTCGGAAAAAAGTCTCCGGAGTTCAACCCTCCCCACGCCATCGTCGGTGAGTCGAATACCACCACCGTGACTAATTTCATTTTCGACCCGATTCTCGTTGCACTTCTTCCGTTTTTGTCATTGTTGCTAATCTCCACAGGAGACCATCAATGGCGGAAAAGATGGCAAATCCTGAGGTTTCGGATAAGCCCAAGGCCACGAAGTGCAACCATATTCTATTTTTATGTGTGCCGATGAAGGTTGTTGACATCAACAACGAGAAGTTTCTTCGCCGCAACGGTGATGCTTTGAGGTACTTAATTTATAAGTCAATCTTGTTTTAAAGACCTTATTTATGTAAAACCCATGGCAATGGGTGTGGATTCGATTGGGATAAAATAATGAAATTGTCTTATTGATCATTAAAATAAATAGGCCTATATATAGGCAATAGAAAATGAACTCGATGGACTCAAATCTAAGTAATATAATATATGGATAAGACCAAATCTAAATATAGATTTACTAAATCTAAAATCGAATATCTAAAATATCTCAACATCTCCCTCAAACTCAAGTGGTATAATAGAAACCAACTTGAGTTTGATAAGACAGTTGAATATAGACGCAAAAACAACGCAAATAAAAATAAGAGTTGACTCTCTACCGGAGCCGAAAAAAATTGACTCTACACCGGAGGCGAAAATGACATAACTCTCTACCGGAGCAAAAAATGACATAGCTCTTCACCGGAGCTGAAAAAAAATAGATCGCAAATACCAAACAGATCGCACACAGACAACAAACAAGAAAAGGACAAACAGATCGCAAATATATTTCAGGCAAATTTTAGAGCAACTGTAGTAGTATTTGGGCAAAAGGGCCTCTTTAGGGTACGTGTCCAAGCAAACTGGGTACGTGTCCACTTAAACTCACTTCTTAATTTATGGGTCAACACAGTGACCGTTTTTAATAACTTATTTTAAAATAAATTTTTAATTTATCAAAAAAATCTCTTTCTTCCTCCCGTCTCTGTATGTTGTTGTGAATTTCTTTCGATTCACATCGAAATCAACATTTTTTTATAACATTTCTCGGATTGTTGTTCGTCTTCTTCTTCCATTTGCTTCTACGGTTCGGGTAAGTTTATTGATTTTATAAATTTAGTCCTAAATTATTTTATAGTTCAACCTAGGGTTGAAATAGTTTCTATAAATTATTATTTTTTTTTATTACAATCAATGAAAAATATTTTAATCAAACTTTCAACTCTATGGTTGGTTATGGATGGTGGATTCATCAATTCTTCAGTGATATGAGCACTACCAGATTTTTCTATTCTTTTACCGGCTGTTTTTTTTTTTTTTTTCACTGTGTTATTATACATTCGAAATTATGTGTTATTTGTGGATATGGTTGAGTGTCGTATTTGAGTTCCCAATTTCTCTCTATTTTAATGTAGGTGATTGCTTGATT